ATTTTAATATAGGGAGTTGGAGGAATGGCTCAGTAGTTAAGAGCTCATGCTGTTCTTATTATAGAGGATCCAGGTTCAGTTCCTTGCACCCACACAGTGGCTCACAGCCATCTGTAACTCCAGTTCCAGGGCATCTAACACTCTCTTTTGCTCTCCACAAGCACTCTATGCATGTAGTGCACATACATACATACAGATAACCACTCATACACATAAAAATAAATAAATCTTCTAAAAAAAGAAGTTGGAAATTTCCATATAAAAGGATATAAAAAGATATTTTAATATAGGCTTAAGAGGAGAGAGGCATTCAGAAGAAAGTAAGACATACCCAAGAATGTGAATGTGGGCTTCTCAGAGAGAGAGAGAGAGAGTGCAGAAAGGACATATCCAAGTGTGGAGAGCGGGCCCATGCGGGAGTGCCCAAGATGGCGCCCGGGCACCCTGCCAAGCCCCATGACTGTGTGACCAACATGTTAATGGCACATGCGCAGCAGTGAATGACACGGATATAAAGCATGGCTGCTGACGCAAGGGCTCGGTTGACAGAGTGTCCCGACCACTCCTGTCTAGCGATCTGGTTCGTGCATCCTACGTAATGTGGTGTGATTGGAGGGAGAATGAGATAAAGGGAATGGAACCGTGCAATAAAAAAAAGAAGGAGTTTGAACCAGCGGTTGGTCGGTGTCGTTTTTACTGGGCTCTGCTGGACAGGGCTTGGGGAAGCAGCACCCAAGTGTGGGTACTGGCTCCTCAAGGGAGAGTCGCCAGAGTGTTTCTGAAAAAGTCTTCCTCAGGGGCCTGAGACATGGCTTAGTAGGTAGGAGCTCTTGTGACTCTTTCAGCAGACCCAGGTTTGGTTCTCAGCATCCATAAGGTGACTAACAGCCATTTGTAACTCCACTTCTAGGGGATCCAACACCCTTTTTTGGCCTCTACAAGTACCTGCATGTATGTGGTACACATAAACTCATGCAAGTACACACACATACATATAATAAATAAGTAAATCTTTTAAAAAATTCTTCCCTAGATGACTTTTGCAAACAGCTATGTCTGGAAATAGCTGTATTAGGCAGAATTGGGTCAATGGCGAGAACCCTTGGACTCTCCTTTGGTTATCACTTTATAGGTCAGGAAAAATAGCTCCTAGCGTTTTTCTATTATATGTTGGGGAGAAATATGTTTTACTGAGCACAGATGTGTTTCCCTTTGGCTAGCATATTGTCTTTGGGACTGAAGTAGATGATCTCAACATACCTCTCCTTTTTCCATCTCCTAGATGTGTGACAGTGTGGAAGAGGGGGTGGACAGTGACACAGTGAACATGTTAGTGGCACATCCAACTACTCCTGCGCAGTATTTCCACTTGCTTAGAAGACAGATGGTCCGCAACTTCAGAAAACCTCTCATTGTTGCTGCTCCCAAGATGTTACTCAGGTACCCTGTAAGTAGAAAAGGCTTGCTTGTAGGTCTCTGTCTGTCTCTATCTCTCTTTCTCTCTCTCCTCTCTCTGTCTCTCTCTGTCTCTGTCTGTCTCTGTCTCTGTGTCTCTCTGTCTCTCTCTCTCATCTTTTTGAAACAGGGCCTCCCTGTAGTCAAAATTGGCCTGGAGCTTCCTATGTAGACCAAGCTGGCCTCCATCTCACAGAGATCTGTCTGCCTCTGCCTCCTTCATGCACCACCACACCTGGCTTCATGTTTTGTATCTAACTGTTTCTTCTTTTTTAAAGTTATTATTTTTATTTTATGTATATGAGTGTATTGCCTGCATGTATGTAAGTGAGCTTGAGGGATCTGAGCAGATACATTAATTTTTATGACATTTATTTATTTGTGTGTGTATGAGACAGAGAGAAAGGCAGTTTGTGTATGTGGGGGGGTGCATAGTGTATGTATGGAGGTCAGAGGACAATTTGCAGGAATTGATTCTCACTTTCCACCATATGGGTCCTTGGGATTAAACTCAGTTCATCTGTTGGGCTTGTCAGCAAGTGCCTTTACCCACTGAGCCATCTTGCCAACCCAGATACAACTTCAGAAAAAGTTATGGAGTCCAAATAGTTTCAACAGTTCTACACCAGTAATAGTGCTGGGGGTTGAACTTAGGGCCTCTTGTGAATGCTACATCACTTTACCCACTGAGCTACATTTCCAGCCCTAATCTTTCTCTTTAATGATTTGTCAAGGATGTATTAGACTCCTGGGGGCTTTTTGGGTTTACTTGTTTACTTATTTATTTCTATTTTATGTGCATGAGTGTATTGCCTGCATGTATGTAAGTGCATTGTGTCATGCAGTGCCTGCACAGGACAGAAGAGCATGTCAGATTTCCTGGCACTGGAGTTATATACAGTTAGCTTCCATGTGGGTGCTGGGATTCAAACCTGGGTCTTCTTCAAGAACAGCCAGTGCTTTTAACTGCTGAGCCATCTTTCTGGCCTCGAAAGTCCTGTTTTAATAAGCATAAATATTATCTGCCATGTGGGTGCTGTGGGTCCCCTGCAAGAGCAGCCCATTTTCTTAACTGTTGAGCTATCTCTACGGCCCCAGCATCACCACTCTTAATCCTCAGTTTTTTTATCATCCCAGATAGAAACTTGGAATTGACAAAATAAAAACTCTCCATCCGTTATGTTCCAGATAGCTTCGTTGTCAACTTGACACACCTGGATAGAGGGAGCCTCAAGTGAGGAATTTCCTCCATTGGATTGGCCTCTGCCAATGTCTGTGGGGCATTGCCTCGTTTGCTGAGTGAAGTGGGAGGGCCCAGCCCACTGTGGTGACACCCCCAGGCAGCTGGTCCTGTGTTTTATAAGAAAGCAGGCAGAAGGCCTGGAGAGATGGCTCAGTGGTTAAGAGCAATGGCTGCTCTTGCAGAGGACCCGGTTTTATGCCAGCACCCACATAGTGGCAACCGTCCGTAACTCCAGGGGATCCAATGCCCTATTCTGATCTCCATGGGCATTGCACAACATGGGTACGCTTACACACATGCAGGCTGTACACTCATACATATGAAATAAAAATAATAATACATATATAGTTTTTGGTCTTTTGGAGACAGGGTCTCTCTGTAGCTCCAGCTGGCCTGGAACTCTATGTAGACCAGGCTGGCCTTGAGGTCCACCTGCCTCTGCCTCCCAAAATAAAATAATTAAAAAAAAAACAAAAACAAAAACAAATCAGGCTGAACATGGGCCAGAGAAGCAAGCTCATCAGCCATGTTTCTTCATGGTCTGTGCTTCAGCTCCTGCCTCCAGGTTCCTCCCCTGACTTCCCTCAGTGATGACCTGGGAGATGTAAGATAAAATCAACCCTTTTCTCCCCAGGTGGTTTTGGTTAGGGTTTCATTGCAACAACAGAAAGCAAACAACCTGTAATCTTTACTGTTATTCTATTAATTTGTCTATTCTAAGTACTTTGTATTAGTAAAATCACACATCTGTTTATTTCAGGTGGCATAATGCTGTCAAAGTTCATTCATAGTATAGCATGTGTCAACACATTTCATTCTCTTATGGCTAAATAACATTCCATAGGATGATTCGCTACATTTTGACTCTTCATTCAGTAGTGTAGGCTACTGTGACTGATGGTGCATTGGGGTGCTGGTGATGTATCTGATTCTCCGTTGTCAGTTCTTGGTATACAGAGGTGGAAATGTTGGAACATACAGCAATTCTACATTTACTTTTTTGACGGGCTTCCAAATGGTCTTCCATATTTTATGAAGTTTACAGTTTAAAATTAAGCATTTAAAATAGCTACGATGAGATAATGAAACACAGGCAGCAAGAATTTACAAAGATAAAGAACTTTCAGTCACTCCAACATGATGTGTGTGTGTGTGTGTACATATACTGACCTATACACCCATTCGTTTATTCTCCCCCTCTCCCACTTTAAAGGGGTAGAAGACAGGGAATTGCATTGAGAAGGCATTCAAGCTTTTGAATCTCAATTTTCCAGGAAATATTTTAGGGCAAATAATAACCCTATAAATTCTCTAAACATAAAACTAAAATATAAACAAAATATTAAAAAGTTGCTCAGATGCAGCTTTTAACATTACATATGCATTCTTGTATATGAACACAAAAACCAAAATGACTTTTGAAGTTTCTCAAAAGTTTATCAGCCTGTGTCTGATATTACTAAATAGGAATAAACTCCATACAGAAACCTGGGCATGAGTAATTTAACACATTGTAGAGAGAAAACATAAAGATCACTGGAATGCTAAGAGGAAACATGTTAAAATACCCAGCATTAGGAAAGCAAACGAGCACATGAAGACCCTGTGGCAGATTAGGATTCTTTTAATGAAAAATTATGTTATCCTTTAACAAATCAAGCAAGTTCAGATATGTAATGCAACTCAACCAGCTTAAATGTATGTAACCACCCTTACCTGGTTTGGGCTTCGGCCTTACATTTTCTGCATCATCTCCATTGATGGTTACTGTCACAACATGTGTGGTACAGTTTGATAAGCCTGGATTCATACACACAGCTATGAAGAGAAGTGACAATACATCTTAAGGGATCAGGCAGTTGCTTCAGTTCTTTGTCACTTGCTTTACTAAATGTCTTAGACGATGAGGCTCAAGGGTCAGTGAACATTGTGTGGTAGTCAGTAGATGCTATTGGACTGTAGAGCATGTATGTACTATATTCTCAGAATTTTCCTAAGGCTTCTGAGTCAAGTTTGGTAGTCTGAGGGGTTGTCTCAGATGGTACCAACAAGTCCTAGTGGAGGAAAAACAAATTTCTAATGAGCAGCAGCATACAGACAAGGCAAATAAGCAGTAAAGATTAGAGTGTGTAAGTTCTGAAACGCAACTTAAGTTTCATGAGTTTCTAATTTCAGGTTCTTGTTCAACTTGCTCTCATACAGAGGAAGGATTCCCAGATAGAGAACAATCTTTTTTTTTTAACTTGTGGAAAGGAGATGTTGAGACAGTGTTTTACTTCATAGGCCAGGCTGACTCAAATTGGTAGTTCTCCTGCCTCAGCCTCCAGGATTGGGATTTTAAGTATGTACCATCACACAGGGCTGAAGACCAATCTAAATTTATGATTTCTCTTTCTCACTTCACTAGCTGAAATAATAGTCACCTGAATGCCAACCATAAAGAACCCTTTGGTAGATTAATGTTCAAGAGGCTATCCCTGAGTATACTTGGTATGCTGGACAGATTCAGTTGTTGGCCTGACATATCTGGGTAGAGGGAACCGCAACTAGGGAATTTCTTCCATTGGATTGGCTTGTGGCCATGTCTGTGAAGCATTTTGAGAGATGTGGGTAGGCCTAGCCCACTGTGGGTACTATCACCCCTGGGCATGTGGTTCTGGGTTACATAAGAAAGCAGGCTCAGAACAGGCCAGAGGAGCAAGCCAGTGAGCAGTGTTCTTCCACAGTCTGTGCTTCAGTCCCTGCTGCCAGGTTCCTGCCCCGAGTCCCTGCCTGACTTCCCTCAGTGATGAGCTGTGCCTTGGATACCTAAGATGAAATAAGCCCTTTCCTCCCAGAGTTGTTTTCAGTCACGGTGCTTTTATCACTTATCACTGCAAGAGAAAAGCAACAGGAACACTTGGAAAGCAGCACAAACCTGGAGAACATTCTGTGATGCCCGCTTTGTAGCCAGTTTCCTCCTCCAGCTCCCGAAGAGCAGCATCTTCTGGGCTTTCATTGTCTTCGATGAACCCTGTAGGTGAGATGGGAAAGCTGGTTTTCTCTGAACCCCATTCCTCAAACATAGCTGATAATGAGCTGAGTTAGAAGAGCCCGTGACCCTTGGCAAATAAAGTAGGTTACAGTGGGCATCACCCATTTTTACATCTAGCTGTTTCTCATGAACAAAGTCCTTGGTTTTTTAAAAGGTTTTATTTTTAAAAAATTAGGTGTGTACATGTGTCTATGTGCAAATGAGTTGCAAGTCCCCTTGAAGAACAGAAGATGGCATTGGATCCCCTGGAACTGGAGTTATCAGCGGTTGTGAGCCACCCAGTGTGGGTGCTGTGAAGCAATCTGGAGTCCTCTGGAAGAGCAGCAAGCACTGTTAATAACTGAGCCATCTCTCCAGTTCCTCAACAGTGTTTTGTACAAGAGGGGCCGGAATTGTGAGGAAAAGTGTTTTTTTTTTTTTAACAATTTTATTTGCACGTGGGCTCATGCACATGTGGAGGTGAAAGGACAGCCTGCAGGAGTCGGTTATCCTTCCACCAGGTGATCCAGATGATCAAATGGCCTAAGTTTTAGAGCCAGCTATGTGACTATATTACGGAAAAGTTACTCACTGCCCCCCCCATTTGTGAAACAGTTGACAGTTTATCTTCTCTTTCTCCCACATAGAAAAAATAAGTCCCAGCAATGAAGTGCCAGGAAGGGGTGCCCTGAAGGCCGTGGACTTGGTCAGTACTGGGATCACTGTGGGGAACAAACAGGCCAAGCAGGAGGAAAGTAGCAACTCCGGTTCATTTTCCTGAATGGTATAAAGCAAAACAAAGAACAAGTAAAATGTAGGCTATTCAAGTACTGCAGCCAATTAAGCTACGAGGTTCCTTTGCCAATGGTGTGCACTCCTTGGTAGTGTGTGCAGTTGCTTATATAGGTTGCTCTAAGGAATCTTGGAGACAATTTCTGGTGGCTCTCCATGTCTCTGATTTCAATACTGTCCCCAATTTAAGCTCCAGGCAGGTATGTAGGGTGCCTGTGGGAAGCCCCAGGACACACTGGCCAGGTCATCATGTCCATCTGCACCCAGCTGCAGAATAAGGGACATGTGATTGAGGCCAAGTTCAGGTTCCTTAAAGGTGCACATCTTAAAGAAACGGGGTTTCACCAAGCTTAATGCAGATAAATTTGCAGACACAGTAGCTGAGAGGCAGCTCATCCCTGACAGCTGTGGGTCAAATATAACCCTGGTTGTGGTCCCCTGGACAAGTGGTGGACCCTGCACTCCTGAAGACTCTGCTGTGCTGACTTCTACACTCCACCAAATTATGTTCACTGATAAATCTCACATGCTAAAAATAAAGAGTATTTTCAAGGTTAACTTCTTCAATAAAAATGGCAAGTAAGTAGGGAAGAAAAGAGTCAAATATACTTCACCCTGGACTGGGCTTCTCCACTCAGTCCTGGGGATGCAGCACAGGCATGCTAGGCAAACTCCACTTTGGAGCTCTACCCGAACTCCACTAATTTGACTTTAAAAATATAAAATCTGGGGGCTGGAGAGCTGGCTCAGTGGTTAAGAGCACTGGCTGCTCTGCAGAAAACCCAGGTTCAATTCCCACCACCCACATGACAACTCTAACTCCAGTTCCAGGGGATCTGAAACCTTCTGACCTCCATGGGCACTGGAAAACATGGGTGCACTTACATACATGCAGGCAAAGCACTCATATACATAAAATAATAAGAATCACTGCTATAATGAAAATAAAAGGTTAAAACACATTTTTTATTATTTTTATTTTATGCGTATGAGTGTATTGCTTGCATGTATGTAAGTGCTCCCGTGTCATATACATATTATACATATAAATTATATATAAAATCTAAAGCTGGGTCTGTTGGTACACGCCTTTAATTGAAGCATTTGGGAGGCAGAGGCAGGCAGATCTCCATTAGATCTAGACCAGCCTGTTCTACATAGTGAGTTCCAGGTCAGCTAGAGCTAGAGAGAGACCCTGTCTCAAAAAAACAAGCAACCCCCCCAAACAAACAAAACAAAAATATATAATCTGTACCACTTGTGATAAATACATGAGGTTTAATCTCTTCAGATGAATATAATCCAATAAAGTCCTATAATGCAGCAGAATACATTTAATGTGCATTAAATTCTGGATGGCTTCTTTAATTATTGTGCAACTGAAAAAAACACTCTAGATGAAATTAAGACAGTTTTCTTACCCTGTTTATGGCAGATCAAAGTGCCATATTTACGGCTTTTGGAATTAAATTTGCCCTACTTATTACTGTAAATTGCTTATTAGGGGACAAGTGCTACTGCCAGAAAGTGAACTAAGTTGACAAATCCCTTAATAGCAATTGCTAAGACAAGAGCACTGCAGAGGTGAGCGGGCGATGTGGAAACGGGGAGTTCCACTCACTTCATAGGCCTACATGGGTTCAGCTGCTCCTGAACATGGCCAGTGGCTTAAAGGAGCCTCATTGTAGAAACTTTTTTTTTCTTTTATGTGTCTAATATGTGTGCCTGTTTGCACGTGGAGGCTGGAGGTTGGTGTTGAGAATATTCCTCAATCACTCTTCTACCATGTTCTTTGAGGCAAGGCAAGGTCTGTCAAGCAAACCAACAGCTCGCTGGTATAGCTAGGCTTACTAGCCAGTTTGCTCCATAGATCCCTTCTTTCCCCCTTTAGGGGCTGGGGCTGGAATTACAGGCAGGCCTCCACCTACTATTTAACTGGGTTCTAGGAATCTAAACTCTGGTTCCCTTGCTTGCACAGGAAGCGCTCTAATGCTGAGCTACATCCCCAGCCCTAGAAATGTTATTTCTTTACCTACAGCCACATGGGCACATGGAAAGGTGTTAAAATGTAAGCACTGGAATGTTCAGGCTCAGGCCTGTGGTCACTGAGTTGAGTTACTCACTCACCTGCAGGGAACTCCAGGCAGTAGCCACCCATTGGAGGTCGGAACTGTTTCACTAGAACAATACACTCATAATGAAGAGTTCTTTGCAGCACTGGGATGATTGATACGCCTGTCAAAAAGAAACAAAGCTAAGAAATGCCTAAGAAAGGTCAGCCAGGTCAGCAATCAGTTTATGGCAATCTAAGGAAACCTCTAAATTGTAAGAAACTCTACATCTAAATCTACTCTGGAATAGCCATTAACATTGACCGGCCTCTCTGCTTAAAGAAGACAGTGGGGTGGTGGGGTTGTGGCCTGGCTTTGATTAGGACTTTTAGCTGAAAGCTTGCTTTGCTACAAAAAACCAGGCAGGGCTCCATCTTCTTTCTATAAAGCAGATGGCTTCTTTTTCTTTTAAATAGGATTAGTATTTGTTGCTCATCTATGACTTTTTCTTGGAAGATAAACTTTCATAAGGACTGTACTATATCTGTTCTTGTCCCTTTAGAGCAGAGCAGAGCTCTCCATCTTGGTCCTTCTGGGTCTAGTTGGACCACCCTCCTGCACTTTTCCCACAACTGTATTCCTCTCCTCTCCCTCTGGCATGGCAGGCTTCCCTGAAGAAAAGCCTGTCTCCCATCACCACCATTCCCAGGATCCCAGCATGCCTTACCCACAATGTGGCAGTGGCCCCATCTACCAGCACCTCCCTCACTTTGCCCCTGGCTCTCCCTAACCATACCCACCACTGAAACCATTTTCAGAAAGCCAGAAATTCCCTAAAATCTAAGGCGAGACTTGTCCCTTGCCACGCCACCTCCAGTCGAGCTCGTGTGAGGTACTCTCCATGGGTCGAGGCTGAGGAAACATCAAAGGAAGAATGCCTCCTGGAGATGGCTGTGTTAAAAGAGCATGCCATGCCTTTGGCTGTTCTACTTTAGTTTCTGTCTTTATCATGCAACATTATTCTTATTCTTTCTTCATAGAGAGATTGTTTTGTACTAACTTGGATCATTAGGCTCACCTAAAGAGAAGCTGGATATGGATGATTTCCTGGGAACTTAGTCATCTGATACTATACTTCCTCAGCTGTCTCTGTTCAGTCATCAAGAAGCCAAGACAGAGAAAGTCTTGGTCCAGTCAATCTCCCTCGGGTCCTGCCCCTAGACAAGTCTAGGCCTGGATGCTTGAGTTGGCCTAAAAATGTGAGGCTGTTTTGCCCTCTTTATGGGATAGACCCCTGATAATCACATGCATGACTAATCCCAATGACGGGTAAGACCCTCCCAGACTGATGAACCTAAGACGGGGGCCAGGAGGGCAATCATGGTTACCCAAGGACAGGCAACTTCAGAACCTGAGGAGAGGCAACCTAAGACAGGGAGGTCATAATAAAATAAGGGAAAAGGGACGGTGACTCCCATTCCTGGGGCTATCCCTGAGAAGCCTCACTTAAAATAATAAGGGGAGATGTAGGGACCTGAGGCTTGAGACCTGAGACTTGAGGCCTGAGACCTGGGACCTGAGACCTAAACATACAATAATCAAAGCATCTTAGAATAGGCAACCTTGGAAACTCCTAGATAAGTTACAGTAAGAATCAAGAGTTTATGTAGGAAATAATAGATGAGTGATTATTCAAGGAAGGAAAGTTTCATGGTATTCATTACAATTCATGGATAGACTTGCCAGATTTAGGCCACCTTGGTGCCTGCTTAGTAAGGAACAAAAGGAGAGCATACAGAGACAATGTTTATTTCATGGAAAGTAAGATGGAGTAGTTATGTTTATAAGTTCCATACTTGGAAGGATTTCATGAGAGCTACAGGATTAGAATGGGATACTGACATAATGGGGTTTGGGACATATTAATGAACAGGGGAAAAAAAGCAGATATAAAGCAACATTATTGTGATTCACCTGGAATTCAAATAGAACTATTAATGACTATAGAGCTAGTATTGAAAGCACATAGTGGTTTGAGGTCAGCTCACCGTGTAACCACAGAATATAAATTTTAAAAGTCTAATCTGACCAAGATGAAAAACAGAAACTTTCTGTTTAGCACTAGTTAATGTTTGACAATATATTTTGATTCACCTGTGTTTCGCTTTTGTCTCTGGAATCAGAACTCTTAGAAAATGGTTAAACCGCAAAAAAATGGCTTATTGATGTAATCATGTAACTTTGTAATTTATAATCTGAGCTCTGCAGCTGCAACATTACACTCAGACTTTCACCAAACTCCTGTGTGTTTGTCTGTCATTCGCCGAATCCTTGTCCACCCTTTGGGGACCCTGCTCCCGTCGGGCTGAACTGCTCCAGTCTGGGATGGTCCGTCGCATCCCATCTCTCCATAGGTGTGCTGGAATGACAGGTGCATTGCATTGGCTTTCTATGTGGGCTCCTCAGTTGACCTCAACTTGCCAGGCTCCAGTGGCCAGTAGTTTTACCCACTGGGCTACCTCTGTGGCCCAAGTTCCATCACTTCTGTCTGTAAATAGTCTTGCTGTTGTTGTGGGAAGGGTGCTGTGTGTATATTAGGCAAGTGCTCTACTGAGCTACACCTCCAGTCACAGGACTTAATTGCTTCTGAGAGCATAGTCACTGATCACTGGCTAATAAGCCTCATTTTGGGCTGTAAGCTCCACCCATTGTCCCCTACTCTGTGTGTGTGTGTGTGTGTGTGTGTGTGTTTGAGACGGGGTCTCACTATGTAGCATTGGCTGGCCTGGAACTCAATATGTAGACAAGGCTAGTCTCTAACTCACAGCAATCTGCTGGCCTCTACCTCTTAAGCGCTGGGATTAAAGGCATGAGTTACCACACCTGCCAGTAAACTTTTCTTTTGCAAAAAACAAAAACCAACAAAAAGAAAACCACACCTAAAAATCACTTTTGCAGAAATGAAGATTTGAAACTCTCAAACCTTTGAGCAGAAGACATAGAACGAAAAGATTTACTGGCACTGACAATATGTGACGGGATGTATCTATAAAAATTGTCTTTTCTAGCCTGGTGTGGTAGCACACACCTTTAATCCCAGCACCTGGGAGGTAGAGGCAGGCGGATCTCTTTGAGTTCAAGGCCAGCCTGGTCTACATAGTGAGTTCCAGGACAGCTGGGGCTTCAGGGAGACCCTGTCTCAGAAAGGACCCCCCCAAAAAATAAATTGTCTTTTCTAAAGTGCTCAGTAAGTGGTGTTCCTTAGTGATTAAAGATATGTAGGTAGGACAGAGAGAAGCCTTGTGTCCAGACTGCCTTCTGGCCTTCATTGACTGCTGAAGTTGAGGTAAAGGTATTTATTTTTGAGACAAAAGTAAATATGAGTTTATTATTATTATTATTTGCACAATGGGATAAAAATCGCTGTTGAATGAGGTTGTATGTGTACAAAGTGAAATGATGCTTTGAAAATAGTTTGCAGGATGCATAGCAGGGTGCCAAGGTCAGTGCTCTGCTGCTCTGGTGGGAATCTTTGTTATTTTTGAAGCTTGTGGAGTAAAGAGGCAGCAGGACTTTGGGGATTGAATTGTAACCTGTGCTTACCATGTTGTGTGCAGTCTTTTTCAACATAATCATGTCAGTTGGTAATGGTTGTGTTGCTCATCTGAAGGACTCGTTGCAGGCGATGAAATGTAATGACAGTGTTTACAGTAGGCTCTTAAATTGTAGTTCCTGTTCTTTCAAAAAAATTTAGATTATGTTTTGTTTCATGGTGCCAACCCTCTTGGTGGAGCCAATTTGCTCTTCCTGTAGGGTCGAGGGATCAAGCTCAGGTGGGCAGACTTGATGGTAAGCACCTTTACCCACTGAACCATCTTACCGACTCTAAGTTCTAGAGAAGAATGTGCAAGTTCTTGGAGATCTATAAAGTTTTCAGGGTGCTGGAGAGAGATGGCTCAGAGGTTAAGAACACTGGTTGTTCCTGCAGAAGACCCGGGTTCGAATCTCAACCCCCACATGGCAGCTAACTGTCTGTAACTCCAGTTCC